TATTATTATTTTTTAATATTAAATCATTGAGTATCTTAGGGGCCGTCCATAAATGATGTCACACGTTTTTTTGATATTTTTAAAATATTATGCACTCTTACAATTATCCAATTAAAACTAGCGATTTAATTTAAATATTTAATAATTGCATAACTAAAAAAAAAAGGTTTTTACAATTTTTTTTATATATTTTACTGTTTTGTTGCAATAAACGTTCAATTTTTAATATAACCTTTGACGTATACATTTATGTTCCCTTAATTAATATATCCTTAAAGGTTGCCATGAAACTTAGATCTATTAAAAATTTATTTGACGTTTGAATTGTCATTTTCAGTATACGTATTCTATAATTTTTGTTTAGTTTTTTAAAGTGTTTTTTATAAACAAAAATGAAAAATTGTAGTAAAAGTTACAAAGAAATTCATGAAATTTAACTAAGGACCGGTTTATTCATCTTTAGTAAAGTTTATCGGGCCTAATCTTTAATTTGATTTAAAAAGTTATGGTAATATTTAAATAAAATCGCAAGTTTTAATTGGAGAATTGAAAGTGTGCATACCTACATATTTTTAATAAACATACAATTAAAACAAAATTAACCGTCAAATTTTTTTTATTTTGCTCTTAAAATTTATGTTATGACCTAATTAACAAGAATATAAAAAAAATAGGTTTCACAGAAAGTCCAAAAATCACCTCTCAGAACAGCACCATGCATCTGTCACCTGTAATCTCTCACCTGCCATTTATCATCTGTCACCTGTCATTTGTCATCTGCCACCTGTCATATATCACCTACCATATGTCATCTGTTAACTTGACATCTGTCAAAGTGTTGTTGGGTTCCCCTGTATACGACGACCCCTTCCTCCTCCCTAAGTGTGTGACATCATTTATGAACGGCCCTTATTACGTTAGATAATTATGATTTTTCTAAACTAATCGATTTTTTTAGAATTGTTTGTAAATAAAATAAGATTAAACAAATCCCTAATTTTTGTTGGCAAAATATCCAATGATGAATTTCAAGAAATCTTATACTTTTTTATGCAAATTTTATTTAAAAAAAGGTAGTTTTTTTGGAATATATTAAATAATAAATAAATTTAAATTTTTCTACTTAAAAATTAACTAACTATTTAAAAGTATTAAATTAAAAGACAAATTTTAAAAACACTAACATTTTGCCGATTTTTTACAAAAATTAAATTATTTTTTAATATTTCTCAAGCAGCTCCAAAATTGTAATATATATATACCCCAGAGTTTTCAAATTTTTGTCATTTTCAACAACATAATGACCATTTAATTAACAACACGTAAGTGCCTTATTTTCAAATTCTATGACTACTATTTAGCAATAACTTTTTTATTTTTAATGCAACGCCCTGTACCTTTTCATTGATATAACCATTTCCTATACCATACCTAAAGTTAATAATAACAAAGATATTGTACAATTCCTATTATGTATTAAATATTTCAAATTTTTAAATATTACTTTTTAAATTAATAAACAATCGCTTCTGTTAAAACCGGAAGAGGAATTTTGTTCAAAATAATTTTAAAAAATTATTAATATTCTTTTAAAACCCCGGGGGTTTAAATTTTAAACCCCCTTTTTAAATTAATAAACAATCGCTTCTGTTAAAACCGGAAGAGGAATTTTGTTCAAAATAATTTTAAAAAATTATTAATATTCTTTTAAAACCCCGGGGGTTTAAATTTTAAACCCCCAAACCCCCCGTGCGCACGGGTGTGTCTATTTCAAAACTAAAACAAAATTTGGTTGCCGATTAGTATGTAGCAATTTTTTAAATTAAAATATTAAGCAACACATTTGAATAGTTTGAAATATAAACATCAAAAACATTAAGCAAATACCGTTAAGTGAATGCCTATTGCAAGATTTTTGAAAATAACAATGTCATTTTAAGATAAACAAAACAAATCAAATTATATTGTTTTTTTTGTAGTTTTATCTTTATTTTCACTTAAAAATTAATAAATATATTTTCACGCACCTGTAATGATTTATTTACATAAAGAATATAAAATTAATTGTTTAATGCGTTTAAAGAATTAATTATTAAAAAAGGCTTGTAAGAATGTCCTTCGGCAAAAAATGTTTTTCACAAATACATTTAAATTTTAGATCATTATAATCTAAATCCAATAAAAGTTGATTTCCGGAATTTTTCTTCCAAATTTCACACCGTTCGGTGTCTTTAATTGGAAATTGGAACAATACAAAGCTGGTTTTGCCTTTTTTTAAAAAACATTTGTTATATAAACAAGTATTTGTAGGTAAATTATTCATTTTCGCTAACGAATTAAGTACAACAACCTACTTCAGCAATTGCTTTGTGCAAACTGAATTAAATTTAATCTAGTCGACCTTCACGATGCATGCGACCGGCGCGGCCGCCGCGCATTGCATAGAAAGTGGGGATGCTGATGACGACGCGTTTCTTACTGTCTCACTCTAACGGTCTCACTCTAATTTAGAATTTAAATCTCAAGATAAAATCGACGGTGGCGCCTCTAACAACGAGGATCGATTTTGGAGTTATTTTAAATACATTAGACCACGCCTCTTCCCCACTTCTTTACTCAATGCTTATATAGTGAATAGCCTTTGAACTTGGTTTTAGTTCATTAAAGCATTATTATTATTATTATTATTATAGTGAATGAAATCAGGGCCGTACCGAGGCACACTTTTTTGGGGGGGTGGAGACGATAAAAAAACCAACTTATTTTTTTATCGATACTTTAGTAGTAATAGTAAAAATTTTCAGTACTTTTATCATGTATGTAAAGTGCTGTAAAGTGTAGATAAAGAATGTCTTTACCTACCATTACCATGCTCTTTCGAAGTCGATGGGATTGATTCTCGTTCTCTATTTTTTTGATTTGCTGCCAATGTAAGTGGATTATCCTAACAGCAACAATTTTAATTTTAAACAAATTTCCACCCTGAATATTTTTCTCATGCATTTTTTTCTAGTCCTTGTTACACACAGATCCACATAATGAGCAATTTACTAGAACTCGGCCCGGTCTAGCTTTCTTTTCCATATTAAAAAAAAAATTAATTCCTATTTATTGACACTAGTTTTACTTAGCTTAGATAAGCTTCAACTAAATAATAATCTAGAAAAATAAGACGCCGAAAATTGCGTTGCGTCAAACGCCGCCAAAACCAAAGACAAAGCCGACTTTGTGCATGCCGCTTGTGTGAAATATAATGTCCTTTAATAAAAATAAGGTTAACCAATACAATTTTCTTGACGGTAACGATTATAGGAGGTTACAATAGATTAAAAATTATAATTTTGTAATATGTAGGTAAAGTTTAAAAATTATATTTCATTTTATTTATTGTGATGGGTTGCTTGGTAGTTGTCTGTGGTTGGTAGGGTAGGTATACCCAACCAACCGACCCAAATACTATAGATTTTGCCAACCGTGTTTGGATTTGGAACCAACTGCCAAGACTTTGGGGGGGGTGACTCCCCCCCCCTACACCCCCCTTAGGCCCGGCCCTGAATGAAATAATGCGACTTTTTATTATTTCAATATTTTTCTCCTTTTAAAGCTGCTGTATAAACTTTAAAGATGAAAATAACAAAACCAAACTACCAGGCATTTGAACATTAAGGTAGGGGCTAATTATCCTGTAAATTTCATAATTCTATTTAAAAGTCAACATCCTCATATAATGGCCTAATAATGCGATTTCCTTGAATTTTAAAATTTCAAGCAATTTTTTTTTGGAAACCGTACGCCAAACGGGTCAATTGTAAGTTTTATTTTGTCTTTGGTATGTAAACTTAATATATAAACAAAATTAGCTGTTTATATTAAACAGCCGAGACATGGGACGCATTTAAAAAACACGAACAATTAGTAAAATACACGTTTTTTCAGCACAGTGTAATTATTTAGAAATATTAATTAAGTGAACTTATATATTTTTTTATAAAAACTACCATTTTTTAGCTTTAAAATGATATCTTAAAATTTAAAATATCTTTAATAGAAAAAAAATTACAGCTTAAATTATTAAAGCATAAAAATTATGTTTTTAAAAAGTTTTAATTCGAATAGGCCGGATTTGACACATGCGAAAAAATAAATAAGGGTGGATTTTGTCCTTTGGGACCCTAATGAACATTTCTATAAAAATTGAGCAAAATCCAAGATGATCGAGCAACGAGTTTCGGCGTTTTCATATGGATTGGACTCGATATAAAAATACGATTTTTTTTCAGGATTGAAAAAAAGCATGAAAACAAACCTAAAAAAACTTTTTTTGTTTTTTTTTTCATAACCTCTTCGCTGTTTATAATATACTTAAGCCCCTATTACAGTCTGCAATTCTACGTGCAATAATCTTGCACGTGCACGAAGGCATGCGCATAGCGACGTTTCGTGCCGTTTCAAATTATCGGTCCTGCTCGATTTTTATTGGCAGTTTGGTTGGTATCATGCAAGTTGAAATTGGAATTGCCAAGAGTTTTATAGTCAGCAATAAAACTTGCATGCAAGAAAGATTGCTGCAAGTAATTGCAGACTGTAATACGGGCTTTATAAATAACATCAAATTGTCAGTTTTAAGTTGAAACTTTTAACATAAGAAAATCATATATTGATTACTGTAATTAAAATTATATTGCATAATTAATTGAATGTTGCAACGAGTACTACAATGTATTGTCCCTTTTAATTAAATTTAAATTATCTATTCGTTTTTTATTAAATTATTTAAAAATTTGAAATACTTACATAAATGCGCGAATTTTTGGCTAAAATATTCCAAAATTCTAATTTTTTGCTTAACTGGATTAGTAAAACAAATTAAGTTTCCAATCGCAAAAAAAAACATAAATTGTGAAAATAAACATTAAGAAAAAACCGAAAAAAAGGTTTTTTCACATTAATTTCAAAAGTATTCTGTAAAAATTTTAATACACAAAAACTGTTTTACTCACTTCTCATTGGTGTGGTATGTGAAGCTCTGGCAGAACAAATTAATCTTGAAACTCCCTCCACTGTCTGACTTCTTGGCTCAGTGTCTTTTTCCTTTTCCTTCTTTTTACCCAATCTCATAACTAAAAAAAGTATGGATGTTATTAACAAGATATTTTTGTCCCATAAAGCAGAAACTTACTTTTCTGCTTCTTCTCCTTATTAGCGAAGTTAATGTTAATACTCAAGCCGCTGGTGGATGTGGGGGTGGCGTGGATCCCCCTAAAAAGTGCTTTTAACGACGTTTTCCCGTCCTGCTTGGTTTTGTCAGTCTTGTTTGCAGACGAACCTATAGAAGTGTTGCAAATGTAAAAATATTTCCTAAGAATTTTTTTAAATTATTGAACAAAATATCGAGCAGCTGGCACACCCTGAAATAATGGAGACAGAAATTGGCCACAGATATCTTGTTATCTGACGTCCTACAACGCTTCACGAACTTAAATATGAAATTTGACGTGTTATTTGCTAACTGGGGCATTCGAAAAAGGTGAAAAGTCATGGAGACATTTTTCGATATTTTGCTCCATAATTTCCCAAAACGATGGAGATATGGTAGGAAAAATTGATTGGTATAAAGACATGATAATGTTGATGGGGAAATTTTACAACACTAACCTAAAGGTGTGGCCTCCTCTTTGAACCTGGGCAGCTGCCAGTAGTCGAGCTGCAGCTCGAGCGGTTCCCACGGAGATTCGCGCGCTTGCACATTGGGAGAGGAAGGTGGCGTCAGGGAGGGCGCAGGGGGGGACGAACACGTGTCCTCCATGTCCATCGACATAGATTGACAGTGCTCGATCGGCCCGATTCGAACTTCCTGTGAAACACATGGGGAGAATAGATTTTTTGTATATCACACAACTCAAAAAATATCCACATCCTCTCTCTAGAGAACAGATTTTTGAGCTTTTAAAGAAACAGAAAATATTTTCTGTATATTGAAATGGAAGACTATATTTGGGCTTTAATAAGAGAAAGAACGTAACAGAAAGAATAAAAGGGGAAATTTTAAACATTTTCACAATATTTTGTAAGCTAATATAATTATATATTATAATATTTAAAGTTTATTAAAACAAAATACAAATATATTTCTTTTGGTTTATCAAGAGATCAAAATTAAAATCACATATTTTCTTGAATTAAAACAAAACGTTCTTCTACCTAAGCAATTTTATTAAATAGTTTTTTGGGAAAAAACAATTTTTTTTGTAAAATATATTCATTTTAATAAAAGTAGAAATTAACCATTTAAAAGTATTTTAATTTAAAAAAATATCTATTACATTACATTAAACTAAACATTGAATTGAATTTAAATGATTTAAGAAAATAAACGTTAAATATACTGTTAGTTGGGTCCTTTATGTTCATTGAAAATATCCACTCACAAAATAATAATAACAATTATAAAAATTATAATTTTATAAATCAATGTGTCAAATAAAACGATAGTTATGTTAATACGGCACCGAATATGTTTTTTTTTGCCGCCGGTAGAATATTCTTACTAAATTAAAATAATAGAAAATATTAATTACAATCATAATATTACATGATTATAATCAGAGTCGGAAATTCACTCTTTCTCGATATCAGTGTACGGATTCATCGGTAAAAACTTTTCAAAAAATTTAATTTTGCATTTTGTTCGTTTTAAACTTTGAATAAAATAAAAAAATGCAAAAGTCAATTTTTCTGAAAATTTTACAATTCTTCCGTGTTTTTTTTCAGGAAAAAACTGTTTTTTCCTGGAAATTTTAAAACCCTAGAAAATAACTGAGTATTAAATCATGTACTCACGTTAATGAAGGGAATAAACAGCTGACTATTTTCGTCATGACACGTCAACATGGCCTCTCCAAGCGTGAGCTGAGCAATTGGAGCAGAAGTGCTCACTGATAAATACCGCCCGATTCTAGCTGCGAGATCGTCTGGTTTCGGGTCCTGTTCGCTCGGAAACAGCGATGCGTAACCTTAATAAAAATAATAATAATTATTACCTAATAATAATTATTACTTAATAATTAATTACCTTGATCAAGTGAGGCCAGATGTCGCGCCAAAGTGCAATTTCCAGTCGGTACGACATAGAGGCGCGTGTACGACAACCATTCGGACGTTTTATTGGTTAGATTTTCGACGTATGGGCGCACCGACCACCCGACAAGATTATCGGTTCCTATAAGGAGGATTTTTACGTAAGTGCCTGGTTTTGCGCTGTTACAGCTGAAATAAATAGTTGTCTGTATTTACCGATGTAAAGTTGATTCACCTAGTTTGATTGGAAAAATCCTAGTTCTCGGTGATTTTTCTAGTTAATTTCAATACTTATTTTCATTTTTGGAAAAAAATATTGTTGCAAAGAAAACTTAAATTTCATGCCCACTTTTTCTTCATAACCACATACAAACTTGACTTACTATTTGTTTATTTTGTTGAAAAGTGCGGTGAATACCGCTTTGACTTCGACGGCGGACGTCGGTAGAAATACTTTGTGGTGTGGGGCCAGTCTTGTTGATAGCGGTCCGGTTAAAATTTCCGGTCCGGAAAGAAGTGCTACGCATTCAGGAAGCATGGTCTCTTCGAGTGGCAATTGTTTTAATACGTGGTCCAAAAACATTTTACGGACCTTTAACAAATAAATGTTTTGATATTGCTAAATATTTTAGAATTAAAAAAAAATCGTTGTAAGAGAAAAAATTATAAAAATAAAGAAATGAAAACTTGTATTATACAAGTGCTAAATTAAGATTTATAAAGAGCTGAGAAAATCACAAAAAGAATGTTATTATTTATTAATTTATGTAAATATGTACCTAAAAATTACAAATTTAAACATAACAAAAAAGGTATAAAAAATATAAAGTGAAATATTTAAAAAATTATAAAAAATTGCAAAATAGTATATATACAATATATTGTCCACGAGTTACATATATTATTTTGTTCCACAATCAAATAAACGTAAATCATTATACTTAACAAATTGCATTTTTAAATATGGTAAAAATTAAATAAAAATTTAAAAAACACACTTGTGTGAAAACCCGATAGCTATTACCGTATTGTAGTGTGACTTGAACTTACTGGTATTGTTGACAGTTTAGAGTTTTTACTTTTAGGTTACGTTTTTTACATTGTTATTTTATGCTTTTAGACAATTGTTGATTTACGAGGGTTGCATTTTCATATTAATACTAGTTCAAAAGTCAAATTACGACATTTATACTGTGGAGAGTATTAAAACGCTCGACTGACGAATACAACTCTATACCGTGGCGAGGGTTTAGAAAACTGTATTCAAACGTGGTGTCATCCAATACACTTCTATATTTTTCTGTTTGCTGTGTATGCTATACAGCCATTCCACGCTACTCGGGAATTTTTGTAGCGTCCGTTACAATCAAAAATTGTGAGTAAAACTACCTTAATTATTATGCTTATAAGTTTAAGCCCAATTATTACAAGCATAATAAACATGTGTGCAATATTAACTATTGTAACAGTATTTAATTTAATTACGGTAGCTTTTACTCACAATTTTTTATTGTAACGGACGCTACAAAAATTCCCGAGTAGCGTGGAATGGCTGTATACAAGTAAGTAATGGGGGTTTTAAAAAAATATTTTTGACTTAAGGATTAGTTCCTATGTTGTAAGAACTGGCCAAATATCTCGTCAGCGTGTTTTTGTTTCAAAGGTGCTATAGTTGTCGCGGCGAATGTTTCGAATTCTGAACCAAGCACAGACATTACAATTATTGTTGTTTCTTTTACGCATATAATATATATAACCGTATGTCGAGAAATCGGTTTTTGACATTCGACATTGATGACGCAATTTGAAACATTCGCTGCGACGACTATACACAAACAGGTACCGACAGACAGCCTGTTTCGGTCTTATTAGTGCCGGATAGCCGTGGTGTGTGGGCACAGCCAAAACACGCTGCCAAGCTCCTTATATAGGCATCAATTATGGCGAAAGCGGTGAGAGATAATCAGACACCGTCTACCGTCCAATCTAACGTAACCTGCTATGGGTGTTGCAGAACAGCTGCCTACACGTAATAGCGGGATCATACTCCAAAAGACATGGCTATCCAAAAACCGTGACTATGGGTTTATACAGTCTTAAAAAATGGTTTCTACTTAAGGAGTAGTACCCATGTTGTAACAACTGACCAAATATCTCGTCACAGTGTTTGTTTCGAGCGTGCTACACTACTATGGGTGTAGCAGAACTGTGCTGTCAATTGAAACCAATTGAAGTCTTAGTTAAATAATTTTCAAAATATTTTACAATTCATACAAATCGAACGTCGATTAAAACCGATAAAATCTTAGTTCAATAATTTCAAAATTATTTTCCAATTCAGTCCCATGGAAATTAGGCCTTAAACTATGAGGAAATAAAACGCCGATTAAAACTGATTGAAATCTTTGTTCAATAATTTAATGGAAACTTAATGTTAATGTTAAGTTAATTTTAATGTGTGCTGCATAAATCCAACATAACTATTACTTACTTACTACACTCACAGGCAAAATAATCGATCCACACTAATTTTCGATGAATTTCAATCGCAAATAACTTTTTTATTTAATGTCGGATTTAAACGAATTTAAAAGAATATTGTAGATAAATTAATGGAGAAATTAAAAATTTTAAAATATTACTATAAAATAGACGTACATTTTTAATATACAGGTTTAAACAAAATTATGTTTTTACCATAAGTTTAAGACACTCTGTAGAGTGGCAAAACGGAATAATGTTCTAAATTTAGTTTTAATTATTAGGTCACATTTATTTTTAACATTTTTGGTTTTGGTTCACCCCGATATCTTTATTTTTGTGGAAAATATGGATTTAAACTTACTTATAAAAATGGATATTCTGATGTTGCCAGAGCCATTGCTTTAATCCTGGATTCAGCTCGACAGCAGAAAGGACTTGGGGGGGCAATAACAGCGGATAGATAAGTATATGTATATTCGTCAGGTTTTAGACTTTTGCTCTAATTTTTTCCTATTTGAACCTTATCAATTCTTATCAATAAGGAAAAATTCTTATCAACAAGAAATTTCTTTTAGCGACGCGTTGACGCGCATGACTACCCTTATAATGTTTTTCTTTAGCCGTTAATTCGTATGCGATTTTTTATTTTGAAAAAGCAGTGGTTACCCCTCGTGTTAACGCTCGACCGCATGATGCGAAAGTCGTTAGATGAGGTGGAAATCCCAAAAATGAATTGTCCTCCCCGCAGCCACGACTTAAATCCGATCGAACATGTGTGAGATACATTGGGCAAAAAAGTACGGTCGCGGGTAGCAGGTCCAGACAATTTACAGAAGCTTAGTGAAGTACTCATTGAAAAATGGCAGATAATTAATCAAGATCATTGTATACGGAACCTAATTGAAGGGATGCCTTGGCCTATGGAGCCTCCATAATGGAGGCTCTCATTCGAGCACGTGGAGGAAACACTCGTGACTGAGTTATTTGTTACTGTAACTGTTATTTTTTATTGTTATTGTTAATTTTTGAGTGTGTTTTTTAAATCGCAAATGCCATTTTTGTGCTTTGAGTTTTATAATGGTTTAATAGAGGATTAATTAAATTTTTTTAAATAAGTTTGTACTGTTTCTTTACAAAAATCGTATTTGTAGCAAAAATAAAACCGTCACTGTCATCCTTCATAGCAACCTTAGTTCTTTGTTCAGAAAAAATATAGGAAATTGCAATGTTTTGTTTTAAATCCATATTTCCCACAAATATATCGAGGTGTGCCAAAAACTAAAATGTTAAGAATAAACTAAACTTGATAATTTAGAACAATACACTGTTTCGCCACTCTACAGAGTGTGTTAAACTTATGCTACAATCTACATCTTTTTTTTAAACCTGTATATTATAAACGTACGTCTATTTTTTAGTAAGTTTTTAAAATGCTAAAAATTCTTCCTTAATTTATCTACAATATTCTTCAAAATTCGTTTAAATTAGACATCAAATAAAAAAGTTATTTGCGATTGAAATTAGTCTAAAATTTGTGTGGATCGATTATTTTGCCTGTGAGTGTATATACCTATACCTATATATCCCAGACAGCAATATGACGCCTTAATTAAGTCTGCATAAGCTCTATTTTATGATTTGGACGTCAAATACAACATGAGAAAGAAGTTTTTAAGAGGTTCTTAAGACTTCGAATGCGCCACCTATTGAACTAATCAAGACTTCTCAAAAAATAACTTTGAGGAACCCTTTTCTTTGACTTCGCAATTAAGCATTTTAAAGAGTCCTACGGTATAAACTTATAAAAAGACTTCTTTGGAATTTCCCGTTTTGGATATAGAAGTACTACCAGGGTTCTGATGAAAAAATTACATACTGGATCGTTGCTTATTTTGACATGTCAAGTTTAATTACCATAGAACAAACGAATTTGTTAAATTTATTTTATCAAAATCATATTAATAATTTGCTCGTATTCGCTTATTTTTGGAATTGCGATTACTTCGTCTCACTTTTGATTAAATTCATGCGTGCTCTTCACCGGCACCGATAGACGGCCTATTTCGCTCTTTTGGAGCTCGTCAGTATCGGGTAGCCGTTTACCTAGGTCTAAGACCGTTTGGTATGGAGCACGCTCTAAATTCTAATTCGCCGCTTCTTATATAAAACACAAGAAGTTACAGCAGAAAGTAATCGCATTAAAATGTCATAAATGTGACGTCTCCATGTTGACGTCTTAAAGAGTTAATAATATTATTTCAGTAAGAAGTAAGAAAAGAGAATACTGTAAGATATCATATAACTGAAGTCTTATTTAAGATACCCTTAGTAGCTTCTAATTTTGATTCCAATAAGAGGTCAGAAAAAAATATACTTTAATTAAGATGTAAAAAAATTGACTTCTCATTTATGAATTCATCAAGAACTCTTAATCTTGAGCTCCTAAAAATGATTTCTTTAAGATGTCATATTGTGACCTTGGTAAGATGTTTTTCAATAGACTTCGTACAGAAATCTTTCTGAATTGGATGCTTTCTGGGATATTATATATTTATACAATAAATACCGGGGGTCTCTTATAAAGTTCCTACATCAGGATGTATGTAGTTAAGGGTTAAAACCATGATCTTATATGTATAAGACCCTGGTTAAAACCATTTCATGGTTTTAAATGTTGTTAACACCATTAGCGGCTTAATAGAGTTTAATAAACTAATTTAACCGAAAGCAATATTGCATAAATGTCCCTGCAAACTATTAATCTTCCAATATTACTGCAATTACCACCTTTAAATATTGTTTTTTACGGAAATCGGGGTTTATAATCTATGACTAAAAATAATTTTGTTTTTCTACTCCTATTGCATATTACTGACATTTGGGTTTTTTTTCGTAAATAATGGTAACCAATATAACTGCCCTGCCTAATAACGTGAATAATGGAACTCAATATTCACGTTGTTGGGCATCAGTGATTGGCTGATTTCAATATTCACTGTTATTTAAACCAATCGGGTTTTAAATTGAAAAAAAGTAAGGTTAACAGATGTCAGATTTTTTATATATACGAGAGGCAACTACAATGATCTTTAAAATCAGGAGAAAGTGAGTTTATAATACATTTTGTTATTATGAAAATAACTTAATTGTAGTAAAAAAATCATAATATTACAGTCGAAATAATGCGCATTATTCACTCGGATGATTTACGTATCTCGCCTGACTGCTCGAGGCGCAAACCACATTCTTGTGAATAATAGCCTGCATCTCTCGTATAATAATATACTATTATATGTTATGGCAACCACCAGCACGCCGCTAGTGGCGTCACCTCTCGGTACTCTGATAAAGCTAGTCAACAGCGCGCTGTTTAATAACACCACTAGCGGCAATTGGAGTAAGCAATTTTATTTTTTTTTCAAGCGGCCATGCATCAACGGCAGACAAAAAACTTAAAAAAGCCTAGGGATAGCAGTAAATCCATAGGTGACTCAATAGACGTCAAATAATAAAATTAATTTAGCATTTCATACAAAGCAATATTGCTATCACGATGTATTAATTATATTAATTATAATCGCACGGAATATTTAGTGATTATTTATTAAATTTTAATTGAACGAAATAAAGAACAACTGGTATAATATTATGATGATAGACGAGTCGCCAATGTCGGAACTCCAAACTCTAAATGTCAGTACGTCAAAATTAATTCAAGCGCAGCATTTTGACAGAGCAGTGTTTATTTTTAGTTTCGTATATTTATCGGCATTGTAAGTAAGGGTTATAAGTTTTTTTTAGTTTTTATCAATAATTTCTAATGGTTTTAGCCAAAATTGTATCCCACATGAGTTATGAGTAAATAAAATAATTCTATTGCTTATCCTATTTATATTACGCCCTTGAAAAAAAAATAGTATGGTCGTTTTTTCGCGTAAATACTAAGTAATACTACGGTTAAATAAGTCATGACGTCACAGTTAATTCATATAACCATGGTTAGGTTTCTAACATTTGACATTTGTTTACTTGTTCATAACCTATAATTTTTGAAATGTGTTTTTACCTATTTATATTTAATTTCTATGCTTTTACCGGTGTAAATAAATTTCTTTGCCTCTTCTTATACCTAGTATATTCTTTTTCTATAGGTACTAGTTTTTTCAATACACGTTATCCAATTCTCCTACATGTTTAATACAAAATAAGGAAGAATATAAAACAAACCTGCATATAATTCCTCCACTTGTGGAGATTCCACAATATGGAGCACCCTATCATTTATTTTTACTGACAACACCCCGTTTACCATTTTAATACAAAGTTAAAATTCGGTTAAGAGCAATTGTACCTACTTAAAATATTTTAAATGTAAACAACTTTTTGACAGATCGAAACAGAGAAAAATATATATTAAAAAGAGAACTATTAACCACGTTGAATAACTAGCTCAGCGATATATATAGTAAATTTAAAAGTAAACTACGTACACGTCATCAATCAGCTGATCGGGCACGGTTGTCAATGTGATGCTAAAATCCTTGCATCAAGGGAAAGTGGTAGTGCAACTACAGGGCGATAGATGGCGTTTACATGAATAATATCAAAATGTCAAAAGTCTGGGTTTTTATAACCTATATGATGCACCGCCAAAAGTATGTTTTTAGCCATTTTTAAAGACATTTTCTGATATAAAACCCAAACATTTTGCCATCTAAAGTCAGTCTCTGGTATATATATTATTATTTCATGTATCCAACATATATTTTGTTAAATATTCTAATATATAATTAATAATAATCCTATTTACCTCTCTAACAGCTGTTAAAGGTAACAAAGGTCCATTATTATCCCGTTCTGCCTCAAAATAGCGTATTAAGGATGACACCAACTCTTGACTCCGACTATTTAAATGCTTCGGCATTTTAAATATAGGAAACACAAAACAACGATATATAACAAACACAAAAACGGCAATGAAAACTTAAACGATATAAAATAACACAAACAACAAACAAAATAAACGAAATAATACACGAATTAAACGAAATATTCAAAAACACAACTGACAGCTTCGAAATTCTAAAACGTCAAATTCTTTTTTATGTGTCATTTAAATATGAAAAATTTGAATGTAAACATGACAACATCACAATTGTTGCCAACTTAATTTGGTTAAAATGCATTCAAATATTCAATTACAGACTTACTATAGTAAATTTAAAAGTAAACTACGTACACGTCATCAATAAAACAAAAATTTTACGCATTGGTACCAACACTAAATGACTAAATCGAAGTTTGTAATTGAATATTTGAATGCATTTTAAACATCTTTAGTTGGCAACAATTAAGATGTTGTCATATTTACATTCAAATATTTCATACACGGTCTTATATACAGGTCTTGCAACTTTAAGCTTCGAGGTGGCTTCCTTAACGTGCCAAGCCGCTAGGTGGCGCTAAGATCGAAGGGGTAAAGTCAATTAAACTACTACTTAGTTAAATGTGGAACTACTGCATAACCATAGCCTAACTTTTTAAATTCTTTTTCTATGTTTTGTTTACATTTTCAAAAATTTAATATTTGTGAGTTTGTTTCGGATAATTTACGTTAACAAAATAGGACAACAAAGTCTATACTCTATGCACAAAGTCCTCGGCCGTCACATGCCCAGACCAAACATGTTAATGTATAAAATACATACGTATATCATATATATGTTACATGGATAGTTTATTAAGTGGCTGGGTAGTTTATAAACTAGCCAAACTGTTAGCTATTTTAATTGAAAAGGTATTTTTAACTAAATTAGCGGCTAGTTTGTAAACCAACCAAGGGTCTTGGCTAATTTACTTGAAATTATTTAGGAATAGCTGGATAATTTGTAAACTATCCAATTCAATTTGGCTAATATGAAAACCAAAATTTCTAGTAACACAACAAACTAACCAACCAATATTCTGGCTAATTTATTAATAACCGATATTTTTATTGTCTTGGCGGGGATGGGTTGATTGTTTATTTAAAATAATATATATTTCACCAACACGATGTGCTTAATTATATAATAATCATACAAAATGTGAAGGTGTCAATAATATGTTTTTTATTGCACATTGCCATGTTTTTAACCGCTTCTTATTTGTTAGCACTTTAAACATGGACCGCTTAATTTTAATGCCGGAACGATAGCTTTGCTGGTTACATTTTGGCACAACACAGGACTTCATGTCTATTAAAAAGCACAAATACAAATGTATAACAAGAACAAATATAACAAGAAAAAAAAGAACAATATAATATAACAATAACGAATATCACAATAACAATAAGTAAAAACTCCCTGTAACAAAATACTTCTTCTTCTTCTTCTTCGATCTGAAAAAACGTCTCCGTTTCTTCAAGGGGGATGGCCTTTAGCTTATTTAAAAACTATTTGGCCAGCTCATTATATCTTGAATATACATTATAACAGTGATGCCACCCCTATTACTTTAGTAATAGATCTATTACTTTCAGCGAAAATTTATTACCCTATTACGAAACGATGTTAATCTATTACTTTTTTCTTTCCTAGTGGGAATTTTTTTTTTAAATATTTTATTGTGGTCCTGCCATAAAATGGCATATTTCACTATCTGAACGAGTTCGGAAATTTTGAAACAAAAATTTCTGAACGCACTCACAAAGTGTTCTTTTGGTGCTGCCACCTGTTATAAGATGAGTGCACTCTTGCGTGCATTGTTGCCACTGGCAACTTGCCAGAGCCCACAACAAATTTTTGTCGCAGCGCATCAAAACTACTGTTGAATGAAATTATTTAAATTTATTATTTAAATATAATGAGTTACCTAATACAAAATTTTTAATTTTTATCATTTACACATATATACCTATTGTAATAGGAGTTATAGGTATATGATTATTATTAAATATAAACTTAATGTTTATCCAAAATTTAAGATTTTGTTAATATTGGGTAGTTTTATTCCCTTGAGCAATTTGATTTACATGAAATTGTACATTTTGATTTTATATTTTATCGAAGAAAAAGGATAATTATTTATTCTATGGAAAATTATCGTACGTCTGGCAACACTGCTTTAGTGTTTGACATTTGTCACAAATGATTTGTGTTTATTTATAAAGTTTTTACTATAAAATCGCATAACTTATTCAAATTGAATAATTCAATTTTATAGCTATGGATAGGTAAGTGTGTAAGGTGAAGGAAAACGGTTCCTATATAAAAGTACTTGTTAACAGATATTTAATACGAAAAACTGAGCCAACTATCGAACCTGACTCCTTGACCCATGATTCCAGTACCAGTTCTGGAGAAATAAATAAGGTTGATGACACCAAGGGTGAAAAAAGCACTGAAAGTAGTAGCAACAAAAGTGTAAATAAAACACCGCCAAGAAAAAAAGTAAAAAAATCATACAAACAAAAGTTTAATGCGGAGTGGTTAAAAAAATTTCAATGGGTTTCTAAAAATGACAACAAAGCTTACTGTGTGACATGTAAGAAATACATAACTGGTGGAGTAACCCACTTACAAAGACATGAGGAGAGCAATGGTAATAAAAAAATGCAATCTTGGTAATTATAACAATTATATAATTATATATTTTTTTTATTTTTTAAGGGCATATTAAAAAAAACAATTCAATGAAAACAACAGTAAACATTGAAACTATGCTTGAAAACGATCAAAGGAAACGTTTAAAAGATCAGACAAAGAGAGCTGAATTAAAATTGTGTGCTTTTTTAGTCGAGCATAATTTAGCAATTAAACTGATGGACCACTTAACACCCCTTTTAAAGAACATATTTCCAGACTCTGAAATCGCAAAAAACATCACAGGTGGCAGAACTAAAGCAAAAGGTGTAATTTTAAATATCTTAAGAGAAATAAGCCATGCTGAAATAATTCAAGACATGAAAAAATATCCATTTTCTCTTATAATAGATGAGACCACAGATATTTCTACCAAAAAATCATTGGCTGTGGTTGTAAGATACTGTAAGAATGGAGTTGTACATGATAAATTTTTAACATTAATTGAAGTTCAATCTTGCACTGCATCAGATTTATTTGCAGCAATTAAGAAAGAATTAGATGACAACCAAGTGCCTTATAAAAATATAATTGGGTTTGCTGCCGATCATGCCTCTGTCATGATGGGGCAATATAATGGTGTTAGAGCCAAGTTAATGGAGCTAAATAAAAATATATTTGTGCTAGGTTGTGTTTGCCACAGTTTTCATTCTTGTGCCTCCAAGGCTAGTGAAAATTTGCCAAATCAAATTGAGGAATTTGTTAAGGATATAAACAATTACTTTTCCAATAGTTCAAAACGAATTCACTCATTTGAAGAATTCCAAGATTTTGCGGCGGTAAGCCGGCACAAAATGATTAAATTGGTCTGTACACGTTGGTTATCATTGGAGGTAAAATTAAATTGAATTAGTTTTATTTGTTAACTTTTAATCAAACTTTCAGAGTGCAATAAACAGAATACTGGAGCAGTGGCAAGCTTTAAAATTATTTTTTACTGCTGAATCAATGAATGGTAGCAGCACACTAAAAGCTCAATTAATTTTGGAAGGACTAAATGATCCCAAATATAAAATATATCTACTTTTCCTTTCTTACGTATTAAAATTCATAAATGAAATGAATATTGAATTTCAAAGTGAAAAACCAAAGTTATATTATTTACTTTCAAGAATGAAGGAACTGTATAAGATTCTTCTTAAATCTTTTATTAAAAAATCTGTGATAGATAAAGCAGTTTCAATTGAAAAGGTAAATGTTTCAAATCCAATAAATTACATTCCACTTGAAGAAATTTATTTTGGTGCCAAAGCTGCCAATGTAATAGCAACCTCCAACATTCATAAAAATGATTTACACAATATAAGGCTCAACATTTTGCGATACTACATAGATTTATGTACTGAAATTACCAATCGCTTTCCTTTTGGAAACCCTGTGCTTAATTTTGTAACAAATTTTAATCCAGTTACAATTAAAGAAGGAAACCCAGCAAATTCAATTAGCCAGGCAGAGATTTATTTCCCTACATTGGTATCTGATATTGAACAGCTTGATTATGAATGGCGCATGCTAGTAGAAATAGAATCATTGAAATCATATGATAATGAAAATTTTTGGTCCAAAGTTTGCAATTTAAAAAACAATTTAAATCAAATTATGTTTCCACATATGAATATATTAATAAATGGGATTCTTTCATTGCCTCATTCCTCTGCTACAGCAGAAAGAATATTTTCCCAATTAACACTAATTAAGACAAAAACCAGAAATCGTTTGTTTATTATCACTTGTGATGCATTATTAAGCAGCAAGGAAATATTAAAGGGTACATCTTGTTATAAATGGAATCCTGATGATAAATATTTAACCAAAAAGTGGAAGAAGAATAGCCAAGAGAATGAAGACTTGGAAGCAGCATTGGAAGATGATGTTGTTTTTTATTTACCTGCAGCATAATCAATTTTTAAAAAATTTAATAAAATAAACGTTAAGTTCCTGGTTGGAAACCAAAGCTATATTAGGTAGTAGGTATTGTTTGTATTATAAGATATAAGAAATAATATTTATTTTTAAAGTTTATTTTCAATTTGTTATGTTATAAAAATTTATTTTTATTTAAAATAAATTTGTTTTATTTGATGACTACCTACCTACAATAATATATATATATATATATATATATATATATATATATATATATGAGCAGTAAAACGTCAAAATAGAGTCTATTATGTCAAATACCAAATTTATAAATATATATATATATATGTATTTATTCTAATGACAACGGTAAAACGTCAAAGAATCAAAAATTTTTGAATCAAAATAGTCTATTACCTTAAATCCCAAATCTATTACATTTTGACGCATGCGTCTATTACGAAAAAAAAGTTGGAGGTGGCAACACTGCATTATAATCAAGGGACCCAATTAAGAGTGTCTGAGATTTCTCATCCCTTGATTTTTGGACTTTTGTAGATTTGTTTGTAGCTTGTTCTTCTAAATGTCTTATGTGTGGTAAACTTTTTGTTTGAGTAGAGTATTTTTGTTTGTTTTAAATTAAAGTTAGTAGGTATAGGACAAAACACAACAAAGGTTAAAAACTTTTCACGCTTGGGGGCAGCGGCCAAGCGACTTGGACAACCCCAAAGATGCTACCTCGGAAGGGGATCCCAGGATATGAGTTATGTGTGGATCTAAAAAAATATATGATTAAATTTTGATTTTGTTTGTGTCAAAGTAGTTAAGTATAATTTTTAAGTTCTTTTTGTTTGAATTTTTCAATATTGTAGGTATGCTGGCAGGGAGGATAATGTCATTTTTTGCCAGTTCAAAGTAAATGTCTGTTCCAGGTATTTTGTTTATGGGACATTCCAGTAATATATGGGATAAGTTTTCTTCCTCTCCGCATTCACAGATAGGGTTATCCTCTATTCCTATTCTATGAAGATGAGTTTTAAATAATCCATGTCCAGACCTTAAACGTATGATTGTTGTTAGATGTCTTCTGTTTTTTACCTTATTTGTATGAAACCATGGTTTTATTGGAAAGTTTTCTTCAATTTGATTATACCATTTTCCTTTGTATGTTGATATTTTTTTCCATTTTTCATTCCATTCCTTTATAATTTGTTTCTTTAAGTTGGGCATCATTTCATACATGTCGGGTTGGCATTCCAGGGGGACATTAAGGTTGATTCCAATTTTAGCCAGCTGATCTGCTTTTTCATTTCCCTTGATATCATTGTGGCCTGGTATCCATCCCAGTTTGAATTCAAATCCATTTTCATTTGCTGTAGTTATTAGTTTCTTAGTTGCCAGAGCTAAATAGTTGTCTTTTGCATTGTAGTTAGTATTTGTTAATATTTGCAGTGCACTGAGAGAATCAGATAGAATTAGATTTTTTTTACTATTTTTGGAGAGCGCAAGCTCGGACCCCTTACATATTGCTGCTATTTCAGCGGTGCAAATCTGTAGGTTATTTGGTAATCTTGCCGCAAAATGAATTTTTAAGTCGGGGCTGTATACTCCGATACCCGCTTTTATGTCTATCTTAGATGCATCTGTGTAAATAATATTGAATTTTCTTTGTTTGAAAGTTTCGATAATTGGCATGATGTTTATATTGTGGTTGGGATTGTTTTTTTTAAGTAACAAAATACACAAGCTTGTTTATAAAAATGTAGGTTATGTTTCTTCACAGAACATAAGTAGGTAGTTCATTTGACGTTTATCCCATAGACTTTAAGGACTTAGAGCCGGTTTTACAATCGTTAGATTAAGTTAGCTTATTTGGCGGATAACTTTCATAGAAACCTTCTATCTAAGAAAATTATCCACCAGAGAGCTTATCTAACGATTGTAAAACCCAAAGATAAAGAAGGTAAAAACGACCTTTAAACATCTATGGTTCACCCTCAACTCGATGCGCCATCTGGTGGGTGTCTCATTAGAGAGGTCACTTTTCCTATTGAAATTGGGCGAAGTTGCAAGACCGTGATTTCATATTTAAATGACACATAAAAAAGAATTTGACGTTTCAGAATTTCGAAGCTGTCAGTTGTGTTTTTGAATATTTCGTTTAATTCGTGTATTATTTCGTTTATTTTGTTTGTTGTTTGTGTTATTTTATATCGTTTAAGTTTTCATTGCCGTTTTTGTGTTTGTTTTGTATATCGTTTTTTTGTGTTTCCTATATTTAAAATGCCGAAGCATTTAAATAGTCGGAGTCAAGAGTTGGTGTCATCCTTAATACGCTATTTTGAGGAAGAACGGGATAATAATGGACCTTTGTTACCTTTAACAGCTGTTAGAGAGGTAAATAGGATTATTATTAATTATATATTGGAATATTTAACAAAATATATGTTGGATACATAAAATAATAATATATATACCAGAGACTGACTTTAGATGGCAAAATTGTTGGGTTTTATATCAGAAAATGTCTTTAAAAATGGCTAAAAACATACTTTTGGCGGTGCATCATATAGGTTATAAAAACTCAGACTTTTGACATTTTGGTATTATTCATGTAAACGCCATCTATCGCCCTGTAGTTGCACTACCACTTTCCCTTGATGCAAGGATTTTAGCATCACATTGACAACCGTGCCCGATCAGCTGATTGATGACGTGTACGTAGTTTACTTTTAAATTTACTATAGTTTTATGGTCTGGTATTTGTGACGTCATAGTTAGGATTTTTGAACGCACTCTAAACGCAAAAATGCCTTAACTATTAACCAAGGTTAAGTTTAATAACCATAGTATTTCATGGTATTTACGCGAAAAAACGACTTATATGTTATTTGGAGTAGAAGCACTTTTTGTGTTTCGTACAGTTGCCTGCCTCAGCTACGCTTCGGCTGTCAATCTCTGTACTCACCACAAAAAGAGTCTCTTCTACTCCTTATGACATAATCTACTATTTTCAATATTTTACAGTTCGTTTCTTTAACGCTAAGTTCAAAAAGAATTATTATGTTTGAAATTCCAGGTTCCTTAAAAAATCAAGGAAAAATATCTTTTTTTTATAAAATTCCAGGTTAATTTCAGTACTGAATATTTTGTTTACAAATTCCAGGTTTTCCAGGACGCGTGGGAACCCTGGTAAAAGATTAACAATACGAAAACCGTAATGCTGTTTATAGATTCCCGTACGGTAATCTATAAACAGCACTACGGTTTTCGTATTGTTCATCTTTTACAGAAGAAAGGAGGGAAGAAAGGAAGGCAATTTATAAATTAGGCTTAACAGTTGCGAGTAGTTCTAATGAACTAAACCGCATATAGTGCGTTTTTTACAACCCCGTTCAGTGAGAATAAAAAAATTGACATTAAATTAAAATAGTATATTCTGTAACAAGTTTGGAATACAACATATTCCGCTCGAGGGAAGAGTTTGCCACACGAGCCGAAGGCGAGTTTGACGGTTTCACTAGAGCGGAATATGCAATTCCAAACGTGTTTCAGACTATACTTTTTCTCGTTTCCAAAAAATACCATAGAAAAATAATTTAATTGGAAGAAAGTGAGGTTGGATTGGTCTAAAATTTGTTAGATATTAAAAACAGAGATGTCGCCACGAGGGTTTATTCTGTCATCCGATGATAGAATATTTCATTCTGTAACACTTTACGGAATATTAGACCAGTGCAGAAGCCTTTAAAAATGGTAAAAAGAGAAAAAAAATAACAGTAGGATGAAACCCATTGAAAAAGGAGGGGAATATAATAAAAATTAAAGGAAAAATAAATTACGGGCGATCTGAGTTCGGGAAGTGGGAGGGGGGGTTTAAGGGTAAAAAATGGTTTATCTCGATTTCCGGCAAAACTACAAGTCCTATGGAAAAAAGTTAAATAACAAAGTTGTAGGTAATAAAAAGATCTACAACTTTTGTATTTACAATTTTTTCACATAACCTCAAAATTTATGTGAAAAATTCAAAAAACCAAGTTTTTGGTTTTTTATTTTTATCTTATTCAAAAAAAAATTTTTTTCCACGAAATTTGGTGAAAACTTACCTTTTTATGTCCCAAATACACTGTAATTTATTTGATTTGAAATATTTATTATTTCGCCTTATTTTGACTTAATATCAAAAAAGCACCCTAATTTTCAATCGAAAATTCTCGCGTCAAAATATCAGCTTTTTTCAAAAAGTCGGTGTGCTTTTTGTTCGATGAACTCTCTACTTTCTGATGGTGTAAAAAAAATATACATTACTATGGTAAATGTTCTCAGAAAATACAAAAAATATTATAATGAATAACGTAATCAGAATGAAGTATCTAAATTCAATAGTATGATTTACATGTATTTTTATATTTTATGAGATTTTCTGACATAAATGTTATTAGAATTTAATAAATAAACTTTTTAACTAAAAAAATTGCAACAATCCCATTTTTTTGATGAAATTGTACATAATGATTAAAATAAATTTTCGAATTCGAGTTTTTTTCGTTTTTCATTATAATATTTTTTGCATTTTCTGAGAACATTTACCATAGTAATGTATATTTTTTTTACACCATCAGAAAGTAGAGATTTCAACGAACAAAAAGCACACCGACTTTTTGAAAAAAGCTAATATTTTGACGCGAGAATTTTCGATTGAAAATTAGGGTGCTTTTTTGATATTAAGTCAAAATAAGGCGAAATAATAAATATTTCAAATCAAATAAATTACAGTGTATTTGGGACATAAAAAGGTAAGTTTTCACCAAATTTCGTGGAAAAAAATTTTTGTTTGAAAAAGATAAAAATAAAAAACCAAAAACTTGGTTTTTTGAATTTTTCACATAAATTTTGAGGTTATGTAAAAAAATTGTAATTACAAAAGTTGTAGATCCTTTTATTACCTACAACTTTGCCATTTAACTTTTTTCCATAGGACTTGTAGTTTTGCCGGAAATCGAGATAAACCATTTTTTACCCTTAAACCCCCCCCC